GTCTCAATACCAGTTTTAGATTGCAGAGCTGGATCCAGCATTTCAAACTTGGCTTGGCTAAGACAAAGCAGTGTGGGACATCGCTACTTTTGAGGTGAACTCAATGCTCCTGCTAATACATCCCAAAATGGCACTTTCATGATTTATGGTAATGGCGGGGAAGAAATAACTGACCCATTGATCCTTTGTTGTTTTCCTTTATTTCTAAGATCTACATAGATTTCCTGTAAAATGAAATATAGCAATTCAAAATTTTACCTGCTATTAAAAAGTCTTCATTATACTGTGATTCCTTTTGTAGAATCTATAGTGGTTTTAGTGTCATATCAGAGTACAAGTATTTTTAGAATCTTTTAGAACTAGGATTTTTTTTATGTGACAGGCTTAGAATATGCTATATTTTGAGTTTTTAATTTTCTATTCTGTTGCAGTAAAATGGTATTCTCTTTTGAGCAACATCCATAAAAGTTTATAAAAACAAACAGGTCTACCACTCTAGAATGCTCATAAATTATATATTTAGATAATATATAAAGAATTTTTCTTACACAGACATTTAAAAAACACCTAAACAGATCCCAGGTTTTTTTATTAGCAATTTTTACTAGCTTTCTATTTCAACATAGTCTAAATATAGCCAATTACTACTAAAAGTTAAAACATATATAGTTGGTGAATGTCTATGGAAATTCTCAGTCATCCAGGTCATGCTTCTCCCACAGATGTGCCTTTCCAAGAGGCGACTGGACTTTCTGGTTTTTCTTTGAAGATGTTTTGCTTCTCATCCAAGAAGCTTCTTCAGTTGTATAGCTGGTATTTCTATATAGACGATAAACATAAAAATTCCGTAGCTGTTGAGTTTAATTCTACTGACTACAGTTTTAATTCAACTGTTTTAATACTGTTTATATTTTGTATTTTTATTATAGAATTTTATGAAACATTTTCCTTAATTTAAATTATTTCGGGAGTTCTTTCTCTTTGGTGATTGGTGGTAGGCCATGCAATAATGACTATTGGCTGCGCATGGTTTCAATTCTTCCCAAACCAAACCATGTATGGTGTTTACTTTACTTTTTTTTTGGTATGACTTTTAGTATGCCTTCCACAGGATGGGTATTTGGGACATTATCTACCTATTGATCACTTCCTGTCTATTTTTTCCATTAACGTTGGTACTTTTGTTGTTTGCTGGTATTTTTCCAGGATGTTCCTGGCATTCCCATATTTTTCCTTATTGATATTTTTTTCTTATTTCTGATCATTTTTTCATATTTGCAAGTGCTCTGTTACAACTTTTGCTTTGCTCTCTTGTTCCTTGCTTATATGAATTTGTCATTCTGTTTTGGTTTCATTTCATCTGTCTCTTGACATTGCTTTTAACATATCCACCGGGTAATAGATTCAGTGTGCTTTGCTTGGCAGATAGACACTTTTTTCATTTAAGACAGCTGTAGATTAAATGGAGAAGCCTTCCTCCAATGGCTATACTCAGTATTGTGTAATATAACATTTTAGTCTTTTCTTCCCTGATTTTGGCCCCTTCTCCCATAAATGGTATTGGTGAATTTAAAGAAAAAGGATGGCAGGAAAGAAAATAGACAATTCAAACATATTCATACTCAAAATGCATAAATATATATGGGAACTTTAATCATGGTATGGTAACCTGATATATCTATCTTGTTATGTATATGGAAACTTTAATCATGTAACCAGATATATCTTTCTTGTTTCCATTCCAAAAATCAGCTAGGGTTGTTATGTCATATTACTAAAAGTAATTTTAGTGTATTCTACATATTCCAATAGTGTTGGACGTCTTCAGAAGTGATATCTATATTTGTAGCATTATTTTTATAAATCAACCAACTTATGGAATCCTCCCAATAAGAATATATTTTAAGATGCAGTAATCCCTTATTAGGAGTCCATTGGTGAGGGAAATGGGAAATTCCAAAATGTGATAAATAAACCCCTAAGACGTCCAGGAGACTAGCATGATTGCTTCCTTCCCATCCAGTCTTTATCATGTCACTGATAATGCTGAAGGAAGTAAGTCATTCTGGGAGGTGTGAAAGGAGAGCAGGCAGCAACCATAGAGGAACTGCAGTAGCACTGGGAGCAGGAAGAGCTTCTTGTGAAGTTGCCTGGGTGAACCTGTCCTTGCAGCTGCTACTCAACCTTTTGAATTTAGTTGGCAACCATCTTGTTCTCATTGTGCAGGATCTGACTCTGGAAAGGATGGAAAAAACTGCCATGGGTATTTGGAACTTCTGAATTTCCCTTCTGGACTTTAGATCTTTCCCTCATGAACCTTTAATCAATGAGTTACATTTGAACTTGGAAGATTTTCATAAATGGGTGCTGTTTGGGCTTCACACAGAAGAGATAGGAGGAGGACAGTAGCTTTCAATTCACCTTTGGGTTGATAGAAAAGTGTAAGGCTTTCTAGTACTCTGGTGTCGCTTAGTATTCTGGAAGGAATTTGATCCTGTTAGTAATAGTGGAATGAACAGGGGTTTTGGAATAGAAAGCTTGGCTTCCCATATATGGGATCTATGTCCCTCCTGATTAGCTTAGACTTATTTGGAGATGAAATATAGTTGGGCCAGAACACAATGAATTCATCCTTGATAGACAAGGTAGTTCTAAGGTTGGAGATAGCAGTTTACCTTCTCATCAAAAAGCCATCAATGTCCCCACGCCATCTTTCTCTTTCTCTAGTCCCAGGCTAGATAATTTAATCATCTGTATGAGAAGAATTGAGCAAGCAGCTGTTGCTCTTCTCCACATGTTTTGTCCACCTTCTCAAGAAAACAAGATGAAAATAGCCTGTATCTATTTATTTCTCCTACCAGAAGAAATAAAAGCTTGGTTTTTTTCAGAAGGCTTCTGATGCTGCAGAGTTCTAAGAACCTGTTTGTATTTGTATTATTTTATCCCCTTATTACTAAAATTTTAGAATATTCTATTATCACTGTTTTAATATTGCTAAACTATCTAGAATTCAAGAAACTGGAAGCACTACATTGTATAAATGGCACAAAAAATAAATTCTATTCAGAATGGAAAAATGTTGCTGGCAATGGTGCAAAGAGAAGTCATCTCTCTTCACTGCACCCATTGTCAAGAGACTTCAGAGAAGTCTTACAAAAGACCTCATTCTGATTTGACCCATCCTGAAAGTTCCTAAGGTTTGTTCTCCCTTTGTTTTCTGCTTCTTTGTTGCTTTCTGCTTCCTGTTAAAACAATGTTGCTGTGTTAAAGAGAAGGGGATGCTTAGGAGTAATAGCTTAAACTGACCCAAGTAGCTCATATTCCAGAGATTGGCCCGGGGTTGAGCAGGACTTCTGAGAAAAGATTCCTCAAAAGCATTCTGGAAACTATCTCTGCTGGAAGAGCAAAACATCCATTTTGGGGGGAATAACACCCTCCTTCTACAATGCTTTCTTGAACTTTTTGGACCAAAGGGAGCAGCCAAATATTTTCATACCCTTCTTTTTCAAGGAATTATTGTTCCATTTCCAAGATCATTTTGCCAACAATGGAGTTCTGGACATGGATATTTCTGAAACATTGGGGGGGGGGTTGGGGGGACGACCTTCCCTTGTTCCTGTGTTTGCAGCTGCCAGCTTCTCTGATCAAAGCTGAGCCAGTGCTCTCAGTGACATCAGTGGCAAAGGATGATGTCTTGAGCCTGACAGATAACTGAAGAATCGTTAGGAAATCCCGTTGTGAGTGTCACAGAGAGACCCACAGACCCTGACAAACTACCACAAGCCAGTTGTGTAGCCTAAACACATTTCTTCCAAACTCAGGAAGTGAAGGGCAACACCAAGTTTTACTGGCAATCAATTCGATCCGTCTTTTTATGTTTTTATGGCAGTTGCTCTCCGAGGGTCTACAAGAATTGCGATAGGAAGCGGTGGTAACGAGCGAAAGCCTCTTTTTAGCTCCTTCGTTGGGTAAAAAAAGAGGATGCCAAGAGCCGTCGGAGAAGGTACCACGACGCGGTACTCCTGGGACTGAGAGACTGACTGACTGGCGCCCACCTCCTCCTCCGTCAGTCTTCTCCAGCGCCCCCTTCCAACTTCCCGGCCTCAGCTCCTTCTCTCGCATCCCGGTTTCCCAAACTTTCCCCCCTGCTTTCAGCCAATTACCAGCGCCGCGCGGGCTTTCCTTTTCCATCCTCCGCCCCCACCCGACTCTCGGCGCCCCCTTGGCTCAGTCTCCCTCCCGCCTCCAGTGGGCTCCTTTCCCACGTGTTTGGCGCGCCGCTGCTGCTCCCCACTGACAGGCAGGCAATCGCCTCCCCCTTGCCCTTTCTTTCCTCCCTCGCCCAGCCGCGCTTTCCTCCTCCCCTCATTCTTCTTTCCGTACACCGGATCGCCGCCTTTCCTCGCTCCTGGGGCGGCAGCAGCGTAGCAAGGAGTTCCTGAAATTTTTGTTTTTGCTTTTTTGCCGCTGGGTTCGCCGCCCGGGTGAAGTTGGCTCGTGTCTGCTGTGGTTATTAGTAACTTTAATGTTTTATTTTTGTGGCGGACAATTCTCTTTATTTTTTCTTTCTTTGCAAAGAGTCGTTTTGGCTCCCTGAGGATTCTTTTCAGTTAGTGTAAAACGACTGGTTCAGACAACGTTTCCCGCCCTCCTGCCTTCCCCCCCTTTCCCCCCAACGGTTCCCTCGAAAGAAACTGGAAGCTTCACTTGTTGCTCTAATTTTTTTTTCTTTGGGGGGGTGAAATTTGCGCGCTTTCCAGTTGCTCAGGAGGAAAAAGGGGGAAGGAGGGAGTGAGAAAGATGTACCGCGGAAGGCGAGCAGCAGTCCCCTTGACCGCCACGACCCGCAAAGCGTCTCGCTGAGGGGGCGGAGGGCCAGCAGCAGGAGCGTCGCTCGCTTCGCCGAGGAGGGCAGCGGGCGAGAGAGGAGCAGCAGCGGGCGCTCCCCTAGGAACAAGTCGGACTCAGTGCCGACACCTCAGGAATTCCAGCCGTCCGCAATGGGGAGACGGCGGGCGCTTTGCCTGCAGCCTTATTTCCTTTGGCTGGGGTGTGTGGCGCTGTGGGCGCATGGATCCTCTGGGCAGCAGCGGCAGGGTCGTCCGGCGGAGGGTGCGGATACTAGCCGCTACTCTATCTTGGGGAGCCTGGAAGGAGGCACAGCGTCCGCCGCCGCCGCCGCCGCCGCCAACCGTGTCCGCAGGAGAGGCCAGCAGGACATGCTCAGGGGGTAGGAAAGCAACCTTTGCTCGCACCCACGTCCGCCACAGGTAGGCCTGTTTCCTGCAGACAGCAGTGGAAGGTAGTATAAACCTGCGCCTGGATGGGATCACTACAGACGGCAGGTAGGGAGTGGCATGCTGAAATGTGCCTTCCCAGGGATAAAACCGACTAATCCCTGAGCAAAGATAAGGAGGGGACTAGGACTGTAGTCTACCTACCCTTCTTGGCTCTGCTGCTATGCGCAGGAATGTCTTGGCTCTGCTCTCTCCCTTCCACTTACTGTGACCCTCCATCTCTGAAAGGGTTGTCTGAAGTGGTACAATTCAGCCACAGGTTTTCTTCCTCAGCTGCTGTTTGGGGGAAAATAGGCCACAACAGCAATTATGTAGTTGACCACATCTTTTAAACTTAGATATGAACTGTATAGGCCTTAATATCTGAAGGTAACTCACAGATAGAATGGTGCTGTCATTTTTTTGCTTCTGTAACATAACTAGCCATCTTCCACCTTTAAGCATTATTCCACAGTACCAATATCAAGATAGTATAGGTACTAATTTTGTTCCTCCTTAAACAAAGGAGGTTGTGACATAGATTGTAGAATAGAGAGACACTTTGTCTTTAATCCCTTATGGCCTTCATCTATTTCTAAAACTTTTCTTAAACTTTCCATAGCTTTAGGCAGGTAATTCACCTGCTTGAAATACAATGACCACCTTCATTCTTCAGCCATGTAAGCCTGTTGGCCATTGATCAAGTCTATGTTTTAGGTATATCCTCATTGACTAAAATGCCATTTCAAGATTGTAGTCTTTAGAGAGACAGCATACTATTTTATTCTGTGTCCTTAAAGACTAAAGCAGTCTTAAAATCTACCAGAAGTTACAGGCTTATAGTCCATAAGTCTGTTTTGATGTCACATTTCTGCCAAATTATGTTTTTACTTCTAAACCCATTGTCTTTCTTTGATTTGATTATTAACCTTCTCAAGAACATGGCTAGGCCTACATGATACAGGAATGTCTATGTACCTAACTACCTCAGCAACCTGTGTCCAAACAATTCATTTACCCACAGGTAGCATCAAGTCTGGGGCAAAACCACATTGTTTAAAACACACTTCCACCTTGCTTCGCTAACAAATCTGTATGTCCAAAACTGGATTGTACTTAGGTTTTAAATAGTTAATTGTTTGAAGTATTGCCATAACATTGGCAACACTTCACTCAGTATTTGTGTGATTTCATGACAGAATCTTGCTCACAAGTTTGAATTGGAAGTTCCATATATAATTTCCTTTCCATTATTCCTATTTGCTTGTTGTGTTCATTTTAATTGTGTTACAACAGCCACTTCTTTATTTTACTTGTTTTCTCAGGTAAAATGCATCATATCTTAGTATATCATTCCCTTTAAAACTTTTAGTCTAAATACTTGGCAGGTATCTCAGTTTTCCTTTTGAACACTGCAATATATCATTTCCCATATTTATAATTGTTATTCCTTTTTAATTTTAATTTTGCTCCTTGTTGGAAACTTTTCATGTGTCTTGAGGGTCTGGTGTAAAACTAAAACTAAAAAAAATAACTCAGAGGTCCTTGGTGCTTTCTGAGCTTAGTTGTTTTCTTGCAGATGTTTCATTACCCAAACTAGGCAACACCATCAGTTACTTTTCTAAAAGCTAGTTGAAAACAACAACTGGCTTTTAAAAAACCAAACATACATAATATGATACCAGCAAGAGTACTAAATGTAGAGGATATTATCAAGTTTTAAAGGGTTTTGGTATAGTAAAGTTGAAGAATCATTTCAATTAAACTTGATAAAGATACATGCTTTTTCAAATTTAAGGGGAGAAACTTAAAAGTGCCACTATATAAAATGTGTGACAAATCCTTTCCATTTTAAGTCTTTGTAATGGCTTACTTGCATACCAGTTTGATAGATGCTGTAATTCTTTCTCTTGAGATAGAAATGTTTTGTCAGATGTCTTTGATGTTTCACTCTTTAATAAAAATAAAGTATGCATGGATTTGATCCATTCACAGAATAGTTTAAAATGGAAAACATATTGCTCATCTCCCCCTCCTTTTTTTTTTTTGCTAAGAAGCAAGTTATTAATTTTTAAAATAATTAGTAGGAATCTTTTTTTTAGAAATATAAAACCTATTTGAATTTGTCTGTCATTGCTATAGACGATACTTTTTTTTAATTCTGTGGAGCATATATTTGAATGGCTGTTCTAAATGACCTGTGTTTTTGTGTATGTATTTGTTTGCATGCAACAGACCAAATGTGTGTGGCTCCAGATTCCACTCCTACTGTTGCCCTGGATGGAAAACACTCCCTGGGGGAAATCAGTGTATTGTTCGTAAGTGTTCTGGCTTCAGATTTGCAATATTGATTTTTAGTAGATACTTATATTTAAACAAAAATATGAATTTATACTACAGTAGCTGAATTGCTAAATTTAGCCTTCAACTTTGAATTTAAGAAATAGCAATTGCTTGACAGTTTTTAAAACAAAAATATGGGCAATGTAAACTAAAGTTTAAAAATAATGTGATAAAAAAACTCATTTATGAAATTCATAAATAATATAGTACATAAATGATATGAATTGGTTAGGATATTTGTATTTTTGCTGTACTTAAGTTATAATAGATTTAGATTAGATGTGATAAGGGTATTTTAATAGCTTATCAGTCTTGTTTGGCCAATATTATGTGACTACTTGGTAAAATGGTCTTGGTAAAATGGAATTTAGTTGTTCTATGCCTGGAATTCACCAAGATAGACCTCTACAATCTGTGGTTGAGATCATCTTTCAGCTCTAGAACATTTGAAAAAAAATATGATAAAAAGTATTGGGCAGAATATTTTTGATTTCTTCTGGTTTTTCTATTGATCTACTATCTATAGATAATATATAAATTATATCTATTTTGGGGTAAATTGAATTTTATTACAGTGAAATCCTATGTACGTTTATTTACAAGTAATTCTTATTAAATACAATAGGGCTTATGCCTGAGGGACAAACAATGGAGTATATTAAATTATGAATATGTGGTTGCTCTCCTTTTTTAAAAAAATTGAACACAATGGATTGACTTAGGTCAAGGCCACTGCATGGGTGGGGGAAGTTTTTCGCCACAGCCTTTACCTTTACTATTCTCAAATACATGAAGATTAAAATCATTGCTTCCAGTGAAACTTTTCACCTCTGTGTGCATGCATACACAAATGTGAATTTTCAGAAATGTAGAATTTGAGAGGATTAGTCTTCTTTATGTGGTGCTGGTTTTGGGTTGACAAATAAAAATCCCCAAAGCATTTCTGTGCTACCCAATTAATACGTTGTGTAAATAGCCTGTTTTATTGTTCATTGTTGTGGTTATCAGAGAGGCCTACCAGTTATTCCACCCAATATAATAACAATTCATGAAGCAAATACTAAGCTTATATACTACCACAAACCTAATATTGTCCTAAATCAAATAGCTAAAAATCACACATGTACAGTGAGGCATAAATCTCAAATAACCTTACAATGTCAATCAATAAAAGAGACAGATCACCAGGAAAGGAAAAAACATGCAGGCCAGTGCAATGCCATATAACAGACTCTAATCTACTAAAAGTACTCTCCGTCTTAAGTTATGTTCATCAGCTTGCACCACTGTGTTTTAGCTTCTCTGTTCCCTTCAGGCATCTGGATATGCTTTTTAAAAAGTGTCCCAAAGATGCTTTTTCAAGAGGAAATGAACTTTCTTTGTGTTTTTCCTTGAAGACATTTTGCTTCTCATCCAAGAACCTCCTTATATGAGAAGCGAAATGCTAACCTTTGGGTCAACCATGAACTGGATGACTGAGAATCTCCATAGACATTCAGAAGAAAGTCAGTGTTCCAAATATCATGCAGAATTAAATCAGAGTCGAAGGCAAAACTATGCTTAAAGTTCCAATTTAATAAGGCAGGCATGTTGGCATCGTTCTGTGGGATTCCAACTCTGGAAGTTACATCAGAATCCCACCCAGTTAAAAGTTTATGATCTTGCCCCCAAACCCACAGTCCATCACATGGTCCAATCTTCTTCTTCCACGCTGGCGTCTACGCCTAACTGTTTCCAGTCAGGTGTAAAGGTTTGGGAGAGAAAAGTTGACCTTGAGCTTCTAGGAAGGAATTTTTTATTTTGGAAACAACACATTCTACCCCTTGCTAAATCCCCTCCCCCCTTAATAAAAGTATGGCAGGCCAAAGATTCTTAAAGGAACCGCTGCAGGCCTGACAGTCGAACACCAATTATCCAGAGTTTGTTTTCTAACAATAGTTGTACCACCCAGAGTGGAAATAAAGGATGCCTACCAGTTAATAAAATAAAAATAGAAAAATGAGGGAGATGGAACCTGATGGTTGCCAAGAAAACTATCTATGAGCATATGTGAATGTTATATTCCAGGTATAGAAACAGATTCAAATCATTCATTCATTATGGTGACTTGTCTTTTTTTTTTTTTTGGGTGGCTTGGCATTGCCTTCTTCCTAAGGCTGAGAGAGAGTGACTGGCCCAAGGCCACCCAGCTGGCTTTGTCTAGAAGCAGGGACTAGAACGCATAGTCTACTGGTTTCTAACCTGGCATTTAAACTACTACATCAGTCTGGCTCTCAAGATAAATTTGAAGTACAAATGTCCATAATTTCTTTCCGCCAAAATACCAGCCTTGCCAACTTGTTTGATGGCATTACTCTGCTTAATGTGGCTCTCATTGTCTATAGCATTTAATTAAAATATTCCTGTCTTAAGGGTATTTTGAAATAAACCTCTTTGAACTAATAAATTTCTTTTGAAGAAGTAAAGAAAGAAATCAACTGTGAAAGAAAGGATGTATCTATAGTATGTGTTCATTTATATAGTAGTTTATAGTTTGCAAAGGGGCAGTTAAAGCAGAATTAAGATCTCATTTTAGTATTTTTATAAATGTAACCAGTTAACTAAGAAAAATATATTGTTCTTTGAAGTGAAGCTAGAAATGCATTTGCAATTAGTGCATCTAAATAATGTCTAAACCTAGCATATCTCAAAAACACATGCTTTGGTTGGGAAAATAATATTACTGAAGGTTGTTTTTTAAAGATATCAGCTGGAAAGCAATAGTTTAGTCCTAGCTGCATGCAAGAATCTATCAATAAATCTGTCAAATTAGCAATCATGAGCTTGTGTGGAGAAATAGAACTAGATAAATGGGAACTGATTTCAGTTGACTTCCCCTTTCATATCCCACTTCTTATAGAAATCTTTTCCCCCTGAAGGTGTTCAATGGGAAACTTCCATTGCCTATCATTGATTTTAATAGCAGCTTAGGGTAGGCTTATTTGTAGACATTCCTGCCCTACTGATCCCCATATCTCTCAGTCTTAAATTGTCTTGACAATAAAAACTTGATATCCTATTTTTATCTATATAGATGATCTGGATGATTCTGATTGCTATATCGACTTTGTACTACCTGTATATAATTTCTTTGGAGAAGAATTTTGTGTGCTTTGTCCCACACTGAACATTTTAAAGATACTGAATGAAGACTATTGTTTTCATTCTGTTTGTTGAAGCATTAAATAAATTGTAAATGAGAGCAAAATAATAAAAATTCCTAATATAATTAAGGAAAATGGCTACATTCTGTAGTTTTGAAACTTTAAAATGTATGTTTTATTGTTTGTTTAACAATGTAATATTGCAAGTCATCTAATATATTATTTTTTCCACAGCAATATGTAGAAATAGTTGTGGTGATGGATTTTGTTCTCGTCCTAATATGTGCACTTGCTCCAATGGACAGATATTGCCAAGCTGTGGACCAAAATCTAGTAAGGCTTAAATAGCATCATTTTCATTTTATTATACGTAATAAAGGCATTTGCTGTTTAAGGTTAGAGGGATTCCATTTATTCTGGGATTCTGTTTAAAAATAGATAAATAGTAAATCCAGTTACTGTCTTTTGAAACTTCTAGTATCTGTCCACAGTTTTCCTACCCTTCTGTTGTGTCTCTTCTGTTGCATGTTGGTTACCCATACCTAAAAGCACAAAAAGCTTAGCACATTATCTGGGTTTGTTCACAGATCATGCTGGGTCAGGATATAATGTTAGTTTATTGAAAATTTTAAATAGCTCTTTTCGTATAACACAGTAATCACTAAATCATGATTGAGAAACAATCATGTGGATACACTGTCAGAAGCAAACAATCTGCTTTACAGTATGTAAATATGGATGAACATGATCTGATTCTAATTCTAATTTCACTGTTTACCTAGTTTCTTCCTAGATCTATATGTTTGAGTGCAAAGAACTTTGCAAGCAAGATGTTGTTGACTTTTTGCTGTTTAATTACCTAAATAATAGGGCTGTGCAAAGTTTCAAACCCTTCTTTTGTTTTGATAGCTTGCATGAAGCACCCCTTTGAAGTTATCTCATCGACTATATCCCTTTCCCCCTTCTTATAGCAAAGTGAATATAGTTTTCCTTCCTGTTGTTTTGACCTCATTCATTTTTGTTTGTGATCATTTACAATATCCCGTTGTTTTACTGCATTTTTATATTGGTTAATAATTTTTATGAGCCACATTGTTTTTTTGATTGAAAAATAAGATATCAATTGTGTTATGTGGTAAACAACTTGTATACTCAAAATTGCAATAACATGAGTTTAGATGTGTGTTGGAGTGAACTTAATTAAACAAAGCGGAAATTAGTTGAAATCAGAATGATAGAGTTTTAAAATTAAATGAATGTAATAAAGATAAAAAAGCTTCAAAGCATTAATAGAGAACCAATTAAAGATGATTAAAGATCAAGGTAATGTAGTCAAAGGAATTAGTGGAGGAAACCATATTCTAAATACAAAAGAAAAACTATAGTTGGGTTGAGTTTATTAATGCAGAATTCAGATACTCTAGTGTTATTTTGGCAAAGAAATGAAACATTGAAACAGCATTTGAGAAACAAAGAAATAGATGAAATGTGTTAAGGACAAATGTATATGTGCTGAGGAAGAGTAAGAAAGAGACATTAATAGGAAAACTGCACAAAAAAGCTGAACAGATAGTCCCCAAAATTATACATACAGTAGCATTTATAAAGAAACATTTATTAATTTACATCCTGCCTCTATTGTTTTTATAAATAACTCAAGGCAGGGAACATAGCTAATACTCCTTCTTCCTCCTATTTCCCCCACAATATCAACCCTTTGAGGTGACTGGCAAAAGTCACCCAGCAGGTTTTCATGGCTAAGACAGGACTGGAACTCACAGTCTCCTGATTTCTAGCCTGATGCTCTAATGACTATTAGTCACTTATACTAGAAACTTAAATCAGTTTAAAGTGAAATCTTAGGCCACAAAATGCTAATAGATATTAAAGTTTACATGATGTATTTTAATGATTTAATATATATATAATTGCATTTCTCAATATTTGTGTCCCTGCTACCTAATATAAAATGACAATTTAATGCACAACTAATTGTCTATATTTTTCTGTAGTACAACAGTGTAACGTCAGATGTCTGAATGGTGGTACCTGTCTAGATGACCAATGCCAGTGTCAAAAAGGATATATTGGCACTTACTGTGGGCAACGTAAGTAGACATTTGGCAACTGTGATTTATTTGAATTATTCCTGTCATGGATGTAGCATAGGTATTTGCTTAGTCTTCTGATATTTTTGAATGGCTGCTATTTCATCTGGATATGGAAATTGTGAATTTAGTGCATTATTCATCTGTTAGGTTCAATGGATAATCATGAACAAACATGTATTATGTAGATAGGGTAGTTACAGGGAAGACATATTTCTCTCAGATGTAATTATTATAAAAATACAGAGAGGTATTTATAAGAAGCAGTAATAACATTAATTGTTTAAGCACCATTAGAATTGTGAATTAAAGTACTGGCAGTAAGTAGGAATATTTTGAATGAATTTTTACATTTCAAGGAGTCCTTAATTAAGCAGACTTTTTAGTTTATATGTTAAAACAATAACATTGTTATATATTTTGTGTTTTATGTATATATATCATCTGAATTTCTGCTGTTCACTTCAAATGCTACAGCCATGCTTCACATTCTGGTGTTTTTCAGAAAAAAAATGATAATAATAAGTACTTAATAATACTTAATAATAAGTCCTGATGGTTTGGTTTTGTCAATATGGCACTGTAAAGTCTATGCAACAGCCTTTTCTTTCAGAAAAGATTTGGCATGTAAATTACATTAAAATGCCTCAAATGTTAAACTTATGGCACTCATACTCTACATGTAATCTTCATTTAATGTCTACCTACCTGCATAGTGAAATAGAAATGACTACAATACCTACATGCACTGCTAATGAATGTAATAATTGAAAAGTGATTGTTGTCATTTCTTTGGAACATATAAAGCCATGTATAAATAAGTATAATGGAAGTTTGAAAACTCTACATTTTATAAATTACAGACTGAAGCAAATGACAAACTGTGACTTAAGGAAGCACAGGGAAATTGGAGTGTTTCTTCATTCACTGAATTTACAGCTCAGTCTCTGAAACAGCTAGTAATTGATAACTAATGAAATAATAAAATGCATTTTTCTCTTAAAGGATATAAAATTTAAAAGTTTCCAAAAACTAATATAGGCGGTGCTAATCTGGTAGCAATTAATTTTGTAGAATGTACAATATTTTCTGAAGTATTTGCTTAGCTGATTGTGTAGAGCAAAGCAACTTAAGGAATCTACACTAGAACATTTAGAAACTTCTTTCTCATGATATTATTAATATTTGTAAACAGGACCTATAAAGTATATTCTAAAAATGTGAAGCCATGGTTGGATATTACCTCAATAAATAGAACATGGCTCCAAAGTCCTATACTCCCTCTTTATATTATAAATTCAATGTTTCCTTTCGGGTTCTTAATCAGTCATTAATTGCCCTTAGACCGGATTCCAAACACACATTTTAAGAGCAAGTTAAAATTATAAAGCAATAATTTGCAGGTTCTGATAAGTGGTAAATAATCTATGTACAAAAATTGAAAAGTTTTGTAGAAGTGATGGAGCACAAGAAGAAGACTGGGAGATGGAGCTTTTTTTTTTTTTAAATCAAAGGATTGATTTTGTTTCTGAAAAAAATTCTGGTTTATTGTTGTTGGCAACTTGTTCCTTAGCTATAAGAATAGAAATATATGATGTAAGCAAAATACAGTTATCTATTTCTTGTCTCAGAAGATCCTGTTTTATATCTGTTGCTCTTTTTTCAGCCTTCTTTCTTTTCATAATACAGTATTTGTATTCCCACTTCTTTTATATTAGCTGTTTCATGCTATGTTTCTCTACTAGTTCATTGGTTCTGATTAAACTATGCATCATTTCATTACTTTGTTTCTTACTGTTATATCCTATTTTTGCTGTTTTGAGTTGGAGCACCATTTTTAAATGAAAAAAGTACCAAAATTCCACATACATGGTCTTAACAAATTTGTGAATTGTCATTAATTTAATTTATCAAATTGATTATGACCTATTACACCATTAGACAGGACAGTTTACAGAATTCTCAAAAAAAAAAAACCCATTAGAAATGCATAAAAAGACAGCCTCAGACTAAATCAAGCAGAACAATAAACCATACAATGCAAGAAGGGCCCCATATGTGCATTAAGAAACACATTAACCCAGACCTTGGAGCAGAGCCAGCTCTTAGGGACTTTGTGAAATTCAGGGAGATTATTTAAGGGAAGAGAACTCAATGAAGAATCAACATGGTTTGTGTTTAAAATTCTTGTATAGTGGTGTTACAGAAGAATGGAATATCCTGAAGAAGGGCATGGCTGATTAAAATGAGGTCAGGATAAAATTATATTGTAACATTTTGTGGCAATTCCCATTTGGAGTCATTGAATTTTAGTTCACAAGTATTTAGAGAGATAATCTTTAGATTATGACAATATAGTTATTTGTTACATAAATTGTTCAGTTGCTGCCATAATTCACTGTCCTACTTTATAATTTATTATATAAAAATAATTGTATGGTAATTACCAAACAGCAATCATTCATTCAATGAGATCTAATTTCTTTTTTCCATGTTTAAATAGTACCCCCCCCTTCTTTCTACTTATCTGTTCTGTTGGCACAAGAGAATGAATGCTTTCAATAGCTGATCATACGCTCTTTGAGCCTTTAGTTGCAAAAATTGCCTAAAATACTCAAACCAAATAACCTTTAGCTTTTTCTTAAGGAAGTTATAAACGTGTTATAAATGTATCTGTTTTGTAACAGTGAAATACAACTATTATGTATGCATCATTTTTTCATACTTTGTAGACTATTGGAGCAATTGTGCATACTGCAATGAAGGATTAATTTTGAATTTATAGGCAAGTATTGCCTTTTTAAAAAATGTCTTGGAATTCAACATGTCTGCTATAGAAGTAATACAAATTTGTCAAGTTCTGTTATTCAAGTTTAAATAAGCTAACATAAACATACTTGGAAAAAAACGGATGCCTGTTCAAAATTTGTATTTTTTTTTTAATTCACACAATTACACAGACCATCTGTGAATGAAAATGTGTTGACAATTTTAACACTGGTTTCTACATATACTTAGTACTGTTTGTAAGTTTACATTTTTAGATTTCTGTATATTCATTAGTTTTACTCACCCTTGCTTTGGAAGATTTTACCTTAGTTATTAATGACTACATTGTGCCAGTAAGAGAAGAAATGTATTTATTATATTTTTATGTATTCAATGCAGGAGTTTTTCAGGTTGATTAGTGTGTTATAGAAGAGTAAATATAAAAATACTAACAAAATAATACAGTAAGCAATGAAATATATTTATTTTATTAATAGATAACAAATTAAATCAAAGAAGCATTAAAATAATGCAATTACCCTGATACAAAAGCATATGAAATAAAATATATAAATACAACTATCCACGTATAATATGGACAGTGTAATTTTTCACTCTCTTTTTACAGATGACATACATAATCCCAAGGTTTTGTAGCCTCAAAACATATGATAGAAAAGTCTTTAAGCTGTTGCCATTATTTTTTCAACACTGTAGATGAATTATGTTGCTTTTTTTTTGCATTTTGATCTTTTCAACACAATCTTTTCCTTAGTTCCCTCACTTTGAGTATTTCTTGTCTCCTCTAACTATCTGGATGTATGTTTTCCCCCCTTCTTTTCCCAGACACTGTGGCACTGCAAACAAATGTCATGTCCCTTGAGATGTCTTGATCTGCAAGAGAAGGGAGTGGGTTCTGCTGAATATAAATGCTTGTTTTCTTAGAGGCCAGGTCAAAAATCTTAGGCAATATAGAAAGCATAACAAATGGTGCTTTAATCGTTGTATGGTAGAAATTCTTACTCCAGACAGATGTGTGAAATCCTTTATTTTAGAAAATCCTTTCAGGCTGTACTTGGCACATGCAATTTCTTTATGTTATATTTAAAAAGTGATATATTTGAATATGAATTTCAGTGAAACTGTATTTTGATATTTTAGTATTGAAAACAACATTTTAATGTAGCATAACATTTCTTTCTTTCTTTTCTGCTACAATTAATAATTGGTTTAAAACTGTCATACATCAATTTTTTCTTTGATTATACAGCTAACCTCTGAATAAGTAGTGCCATTTACCTAAATGTTTTTAAGACATTGTGGTCATGTTTTGGAATAGATTTTCAATATCTATTTAACATTCAAATACCTTCTGATTTCTCCAGCCGTCATGTATGACCTTCTTTCTCCCAAAGCTTTAGGCACAATGTATATAACTAAACTTGTCATTAAAGCAAATGTCCTCCACCCACCCATCCTTCCGGTTCATGAGAGCAATTAGTCATTATTTTTCCTTTCAAGAAGTTATGCTTAGTATGAGGGGAGAGAAAGCCGTGGCAATCCACCAGTTGTTGTTTTTTTTTTCATTTGTCCCTCATTAAAATTGTAGGGACAACATCTGCCAGTCATTTTAATATGGTCATGAGGAAAAACCTTAATTTAGATGTTCCTCAAAAATCCATTTACATTTTCAATTATGCCTTGTCAACACCTATTGCAATGACACTTGTATTGGTTGAGGGCAAGTACAAGGTATCATAGCTTATTTTGGACTCATCAATGAAGCTGTGTCATCTAGTGGGATGCAGGAATCATGCCTTTTCTGATGTAGTACCTTTCCTCTGGAATGACAACTGGCCAGAGAAATCTGATAATGTTCAACAATTAAATACTTGGCAAAGAATTTAAGCCTTGTCCCAGGCTTAAAATTGTATGAATTAGCTAATTAATTAATTAATACAGGCACATTTTCCTAATTCATTTTCTTCTAAGCCTTTTAAATTAGGAATAATGATTATTGTGACTATCTAGATTTTTAATAGTCCTCAAGTGACTATTTTCACTTTATTATAGACATATAATATTTTTATTCAAAAACACAGCTGTCTGTGAACATGGATGCCAGAATGGAGGTCGCTGCATTGGGCCCAATCGTTGTGCATGTGTATATGGATTCACAGGCCCTCAATGTGAAAGAGGTAAGAACCACAAAATCAAAATGAAATGTACCCAAAATATGAATGTTAAGTGCTGTAGTGCTAAATAAGAGGCATGCGCGATATCACTTCTCTTTGCAAGCAATTAGAATAGCAGTTTTTAATATGATGTTGATATTACTCCAGTTGGAAATGTAAGATTTTTTTTCAAAGAATCGGCAGATAGCAGAGCCCTGTATTTCCGCTAAGCAAGATAGTAGAGTTGTACAATAATCTGAGCATTGGGAATGGATCAGCATGCAGGTAATCCTCAACGTATAATGGTTCATTTAGTGACTAAAGTTAAAAACATTAATGACGATTGCGGCACCCTCGTGGTCATGTGTTCAAAATTTGGGCATTTAGTAATTGGTATGTATTTATGATGGTTGCAGTGTCCTAAGGACATTTGATCACTTTTTTGCAAACTTCTGATAAGCAAAGTCAATAGGGAAGCCAATTCACTTAATAAACGTCTTACTAACTTAACAACTGCAGTGATTCATTTAACAAGTGTAGCAAGAAAGGTTGTAAAATGGGGTAAAATTCACTTTATGTTTTGCTTAGCAACATAAATTGTGAGCTCAATTGTGGCCCTATGTTGAGGATTGCTTGTATTAGTAAAGATATAACTGAATTAGAATTCTTAATGCTTGGTTAGTTTATGGTTCAGTGTATTGTACCCCATGCAGGATAATAAAGAAGAGGTCTTAGCTTTTAGCTTTTGGTTAGTTTATGGTTCAGTGTATTGTGTCCCATGCAGCAATCCAAACTAAAGAATTCCTGAGAAACAACTACTTATATTTGTTATTTCATATCTTATACTCCAGGATAATAAAGAAGAAGTCTTAGCTTTTAGCTTTTGGTTAGTTTATGGTTCAGTGTACTGTGCCCCATGCAGCAATCCAAACTAAAGAATTCCTGACAAATGACTACTTATACTTGAATATATCTTTTGGAGGAGCACAACTCAATTTTTATATAATTGATTCCAGTGCTGAATTTCTCTTGCTACCAGAAAATCTTTCATCCTGTTCAAATGGAATCTGCTTTTCTGTAGTAAATTAAGTCTGTTATTTCATATATTATATCCAGGATAATAAAGAAGAGGTCTTAGCTTTTAGTGACATTCCTTGAATAATGTCTCATGCACCATGAACATTCCTAATCCATCAATTTCTCTTAACAGAATTTAATGTATGGTATTAATAGATAATTTTGTAGTGTTGACTGCCAAATTTCATTCTACTGTTTTCAGTCTATTTCTATTCAAAATTCATTATGAATTCTACTTTCTTCTACCATCTTAGTTATCCCTCCCAGTACTGTGTTGTCTGCAAATTTTGTAACTTTTTATGTCATCTAAATACAGATAGTTCTCAACTTACAACCACAATTGAGCCCAAAATATATGTTGCTAAGTGAGACATTTGTTAATGAATTTTGCCCCATTTTACCACCTTTCTTGCCACAGATCCTAAGTGAATCACTGCAACTAGTAAGTTAGTAACATAGTTGCTAAGTGAATCTGGCTTCCCTATTGACTTTGCTTGTCAGAAGGTGGCAAAAGGTGATCACATGAACCTGGGACACTGCAGCCATCATAATTATGAGTCAATGGACAAGTGTCTGAATTTTGATCGTGCAATTGTAGGGATCATGCAATTTTTGTAAGTGTAAAAAATGGTCATAAGTCACTTTTTTCAGTTTGTAATTTTGAACCGTCACTAAACAAACTATTCTAAGTTGAAGACTACCTGTAGTTAATAAAAATGTTGACTGTTAAAGACCAAACACTAGACCTGGTGGCATACATACATACATACATACATACATACGGGGCCATTTTGGGGAGGTTTGCAAAGTGCAAAAACCTTTTTTTAAAAAAAATTTGCCTCTTCAAAACCTTGGTGCGTCTTAGACTCCGGTGCTTTCCTAAGTACATTTTTCTATATAAATATTTATGTTCATTATTGAACTGTTGGCTGTGGTTAGCTCTATTTCTGGTGTAAAAGACATACATTCTGGGAGGTTTTTTTGAATAAAACCTAGAACAAAATGGAAATATTCTTTTTAAACACAATGTATCTTATAAATATAAATTTGTAAGTTATAAATTTCATTTAAATCATGAGAAGATACAAAAGGTAAAGGCATTTTTTTTCATTTTAATTTGCTTGGGAAAGTAAAGGTTTTAAATAGGTGCCAGAAAGATTGTAATAGAGATGCCAGATACATTTCTTTAGGGAAGACATTCCACAAGTGGGATGTCACCCTCAAAAGCTTTTTCTTTAGTTGTTTCTTGGCTTGTTTTCAGTAAGCCTTTTCTTGCATTTACTTATATTGGCTGCTTGTGACTCAATATAATTCAGCCCAGTTACGCATCTTACTATAAAGAAGCCACAATATACACGCCAATAGCAATCATTAAAGATTGCGAAATATTTCTTTATCATTTTGTTTTTCCAGTGTTTCAGATTGCAATGCATGTGAGCATATATATATTCTATATGTTTGTTTCTATATATCATTTTAAAGTAAATAATTGGAATTTCTCAATTTAAAATACTAGATATTCAGTACTCTTTATTGACTTTTCTGTTCATAACATATATTTTACCAAAATAAGATATATTTTAACCAACTTAAGGAAACTATTTCATAATAAATTTAAGAATTGTATATGAACATAGTTTAATGAGTAAAATAATTATCCTTACATGACAATGATACTAATGCTTACACTTGAAACATTTTTTGTTCCTCAAGTTGTATATCTATATTCATAATTATTATTTATAATCCTCTAATCATTCTTATTTATCTTCTATAAAGCCATCTAACTCTTTATGATAAAGCTGAAGACAGTGCTTAGTGGGATCTGCATAAGTTGAGTAGAGTGAAATGTCCTATTATTTTGAAGTGTGTGTGTGTGTGTGTGTGTTGCTGATTCATAATATATTTACAATACAATACAATAGCAGAGTTGGAAGGCACCTTGGAGGTCTTCTAGTCCAACCCCCTGCCTAGGCAGGAAACCCTATATCGTTTCAGATAAATGTCTGTCCAACTTCTTCTTAAAGACTTCCAGTGTTGGGGCATTCACAACTTTACTGTCAGGAAATTGTCCTCAGTTCTAAGTTGCTTCTCTCCTTGATTAGTTTCCACCCATTACTTCTTGTTCTACCCTCAGGTGCCTTGGAAAATAGTTTGATTCCCTCTTCTTTGTGCCAACCCCTGAGATATTGGAACACTGCTATCATGTCTCTCCTAGTCCTTCTTTCTATTAAACTAGACGTATACAGTTCCTGCAACTATGTTTTAGTCTCCAGTCCCCTAATCATCTTTGTTGTTCTTCTCTGTACTCTTTCTAGAATCTCCACATCTTTTCTACATC